TGTTACCTTTAAATCGGGAACAACCCAGAAACCGATGTCACCCGATTGTAATTGAAGATCCAGACCTCTCGAGTCGTTCAAAACCTTCGGACGTATCTCAGGGATAGTGTTGTTGGTTAGAGTCAGCAATTTATTGTTTAAGAAAATGGTTCTAACGAAAACATACACGAGAAATCAGTACAGCTGTACGTAATAAAACAGTTGACGAAACGTTTGTTATTCTTGCACACAGTTGCAATACTTACTTGGCAAACATTCTGTTAGGAGCATCGAGACCTGGCGAAAGAATGTACTCGTGAACAGTGGTAATCTCGGCCCCTTCGAAATCAATCGCGACGTCCTCTGGCCTCAGATTCACACCAAAGATCACGATAGATCCTCTTTCGTGCCTGTTCGAAGCTCTCGCGCATTGGCAATAAAGATAGATATGATTCTCGTTGCCAGTTTGAATCCTCGCGTCGAATACTTGTCGTTCAACGAGAGTTTTGTGAAGAAGAGACACCCAGTAGTCCTGTTTATGTGTGTGCGCGTGTAATTTAACGTCGATTAGTCGATTAGCCGATTTTTAACGCGGTATTATATTAGTTTGATCCGTGATATTTCGAGAAACTCACTGGAGTTGGTCGAGTCAGGTCTGTTGGTTGCCTCATGAACACGTTCACGTTCAATTTTGCCGCGTTTCCCAGCCTTCTGGTCAAAACGAGCGCTCCGATGAATAAGCTTTTGCATTCTTCTGGACTTGACTCGGCTTTTCGTCGAAAATTAATCGTCGTGTATGTTAGAGACGATGTATTTTTAAGATTTGTTAAAGTTAATTGCTAATTAATATTCTATCTTCGGAAGCAAGGAGCTATCACTTCTTGACTTTTTAAACGATAACTCGTTTTAATACGTTCACAATACGATATGAACGTAGTAAACATTTCGTTTGAAGAAATTGTAACAGGAATTCCCTTGCTTTCTCATTGAAAAAAGATGAAAAACACGAAAGAAAGTCCGTTTCTACTAAAAAAAAAAAAAAAAAAATTGAAGAAGAAAAGAGGAAGGAATTCTCACCAATCCATAATGGTTTATTCTCTACAAAACGGCCTATGACTTTGAACATCTCTTCCTTCTCCTCCTCTAAATTATCCTGATGTATGAAGGCTCCACCGTTCCCCAGAGTAACGCTGTCGAAGTCGCTGCAATTAATTTCAAACAGCATCGTTTTAATTTTAAAGTTTCCCACGAGTCGAGGGGCGGATCTACGCGATCGTTTTTTTAGCGAGTATCAAGTAAAATGAGAAATTTACGGATGCCACGTGACGGCCGAGAGTGCAGGCGCGGCAACGTCGAAGTAATCTCGAAGATACTCCTGATACTTGACGCTGTTATAAGCGACGACGTCAGGCCCAGTAACGATGCTTCTCGAGTATCTGGGGTATTCGTCCAATACTTTTCGCAGGCCGACCGTCTGTTTCCCTAAATCACCAGCCGATAGATTGCATCTAATTTGGCACTCTGGAAAATCGAGGTTAAAGTGGAGCTTCTCCTTTCCACGATTGAATGACTTTTTCAAAAGTCACTGATCGATCGACTCCGTTTCTTCTCAAATGTCGTAACTTCGAGGCGCAAAGACGTCGCGTCGACGCGAGAAAATTTTTCCGTACCACTCTGTTTTTTTTTTTTTTTTTTGTAAATTCCTTAATTTCAACAGCCGACCCTGTTTTATTTAGACTCTCTAAGTTTACATCACCGAATTCGATTTTTTGACAATTCCAAAGATTCGCTCGACATTTTCTCTTCTAGTCTAGAGATAGTTTCTCTCTATTTCTCAATTTACGGAATTGATCAACGTAACTTCTGATTAGTTCGGACACTCGTGAATTCATTTACCATATCCCAGCTGCCAGTTGGCATTAAAATCCATGTGATCGCTGAATGAAATGATCTCCATCGCATTTTCGGACTCCTCGAACTCCTTTTGTCGATTGTCTGGCGAAATGCAGGCGATCACATCCAATCTTGCCTTTTCCGCCCATTGATGGGTCAGAACCCAGTCTGACTCTACGATCATAACACACGCTATTATGTACGAACGATTTTAAAACGGAAAAGAATACTATAGCAAACAATCTGAGTTTCCCTACTATGCTTGAAAAATCTGTCAACCGATTTTTAAAGGGATTAAATTATTTTGTAAAGGATTCTACTTGTAACTAGAATTATTCAAAAATTATCGATTTGTAATGTCGTTTACTGTACGAAATTTTATTTTAAAATAATTATTATTTTAAATAATATTTTTTTTTAATTATTGTTGCTAGATGGCAATGTTTGTTAAATTAAAAAAAAAACGACATTACTTATGGGTATCTTTATCAGATTAGATGTACATTACTTATTGATCACAAGTTCAATTTATATAATTTCTTTTAATTATTTTACTGTATATATATATAT